ATACATACAAATAGAAATGATGAATATTGTCGGATTTCGTACAGGAACATTAACACACACATACAGTCTTTTGTTCTGTCATTGTGTGCCCTTTCTAGAGTTCTTTCCATGAGCAAACATGATCCTCGCTGATGTTAACTTGCTCTGCCGAAGCCTCAGATTTAGATGGAGAAAATAGCCCCTGTTAAGGAGCAATAACATTTAGAGAAGGGGCTGAGGAGACTCTGTTAATAGGACTCACTTAAAATTCATAGTTGCTATGCAAAATAAATCAGCGGTTTCCTGCACGGGGGCAGTGGGTAAGGGAATGATGGTGTACGGAGCGAGGGAGAGGGAGGGGCTGCAAGTGAATAAGAGATGAGGTTTAAACGTTGGCAGTCCCAAGTCTGACACACACACAAAAGCCCACAAACTACGCGCACATGCATCCAACACATGCACAAACACATGCAAGCAGCACCCTCTTTTGATTTTTGCTGGCTGCTTCAAAGAAGGAAATGTAATGTGAGAAAAAAAGACAGCACCTTGTTGAAGGAGTCTGTGTGTGTTTATTTGTGTGGGGGATTACTGTATGTGGTATATGTGCTCGAATATGTGTGTGCTCGTTATCTGTCTTGATTTGAATTTACAGCTTGCAAACCAGAGACAAAGTAATATAGCACTACAGATGATGTTATTGTTAGATATTAACTTATCACAGCTATACAGGAATCAGCATGCAGACATTTCAAAGACCAATTTAAGATAATTTAATAACAGTGTTACCATTAAATAGTTTTCTGCTGGAGGGCACATGCAAATTGTCTTAGCCATGATAGTGGTTGGTCTGTTGACCGGCAGGTTGGTCACCTGCTTTTGTGAAAGTGGGGAAGACGTTCCCATTTGTAGTTTTATGTAAAATGTTTCAACCACAATTGGATGGACTGTCATGAGGCCCTCCTCAGGACAAGTGGTAGTAACCTTGGTAATATTTTAACTTTTAATCTAGTGCCGTTGTCAAATCAGTTGTTTTATTCATGCAATATTTTGGTTTATGATCACATGCCTGCAAATCTTATGGCATTCCCAATGGCTGTACTTTGCTGTATGTTGTCTCGAGTGCTAGTTGGAAAAGTTTTGCACAATAACCTGATTTATATCCACTACACATCAGTTTTTTAAAATTGCTCTTATTAGCACATTAGCAAGCTGACGTTACCGTTTAGCTCACAGAACAGCCTGACCAATTTGAAACTGGTTAGACTGTAACATGTGTCTAATGTAGTTATATCTATATGCAACACTGAATGATAAATAGCCATGGCGCAAAACACAGTCGCAGCCTTTTTCAGCCTGGGTGAGGTTTAACACATCAGGGTAATTCAAACACCATCAGGCAAATTGCCATTCACACAAGTACAGTATAATAAATGATTAATTATAATTTCAAGTACTTTAATTGACTTGTGATTGTCTAACCTTCCTGGCACTTCTAGTGCAATCAAACCGTACCAGACCAGTGTCTGTTTGACGCCAAAACAAATGATTAGAAAGTTATCTACAAATGCTGTTTGACCCAGGGGAATACTGCATGTGTGTGGAGGCATGTGTCTACACTGTGTTTTCTGTTGGGTTTTTTTGTGTCATTGCCTCTGTTTCAGTTTGCATCTGTTTGTATACATGCATCCCCTATTTTTTTTCTTGTCAGTGTGCACAGATATTGTGCGTGTGTGTGCAAGGCCAGCATCTCTTTATTTGTCTTGATTTTTTGCATTTCTGAATGTGAATGGGTCTGTGTGTGTGTGTGTGTGTGTGTGTGTGTGTGTGTGTGTGTGTGTGTGTGCATGTGTGTGTGTGTGTCTTTTTCCGTGCGTGTCCGTGTACGTTTGAAAGCGTGTGTGCCTGTGTGAGACAACAGCACGGCCAGCGGACTTGTCTGCTGTGTATGAATAATCAAAGTGGTCTCTCTCATCATTAAATCATCGCTGTCCTGGTGGGAGCCTGAGGAGGGAGATGGAGTGAGAGAGCGAAGGAGAGAGCGAGGGATCATAGTTAGCGCTGCAGGGGTACATGCTCTCTCTCTCTCCTCCATCGTGTACTGTGGCTGAGATGTGTCATGAGCATGAGTCTTTTCTGCTCTCTGTGCTCGCCCACTTAGCTCCCCCAGACACAGCCGCTTGCATACGCACACATTCATACATATGCACGCACAGTAAAACACTCATGCACACAGACACTTTATTCAGGAGTGTACAGACATTCACGCTCTGACTCAAACACACATGTTGCAGGCCTGCGACCACTGCTACACAAGTATCTGCCACATGTAGCTGCCATTACTGTGCCATTCAGTGGCACAGTATTCACTCCAGCATGTTTTTTTTGTTTTTTTCAGATGGTATATAATACATTTCATACGTATATAAAGATTGGTCTGTGTAATGTAAAAAAAAAAAAAGACTGTCTTCTGACAGAAAACAAGCAACAATTTTGGTAGCTGACTGTCTAAACTTACTCATGTCAATTAATTTAGATTAGCAGTTTCCAACATTACGATATATTGAAACATAGACTATATATAAAGATGGGTAGACCCGTTGTGACGTCACCTGTTGGTTTCCTGAAAAACAGTTTTGGAGCTCAGTGTGGTGTCTCCGGCCGCCATCGTGGCACTGACTGACTCCTTTTAACTTTCTGCTAATCCATAAATGAGCAGAGAGATGAAATATCAGTGCAATGAAGTGGGCCATGCAAACATCTCCAGGGCATGTACTTTCCTGTGAAAGTATCCAAGTGTCACTCAAAGCAACCCCTAAGTATGTATAACTTTAAGTCTTAATGGAGTTTAGACACATCAGTTACATAGAAAGTAGCCCCCTATAGAAATGACCTGTAGATATCAAAACAGTTAATTGTTCCAGGCTGTAAATATGTACACTTCTGTTGTACAGTTGAGCATTTTAACATTGGGGTGTGTGGGCATTGACTTGCTTTTTGAATCAGCCTCTAGTGGCCATTCTAAGAACTGCAGTTCTAGGCACTTTAGCATTGGCTGTATTTTTAGCTTTAACTGTGTCCACTTAGATAAAACTCAGTCATTCACAGAGAATTATCACAGACTGTAGTCTCCTTCTTTACATGGCTTTATAGTATCTTTAAGCCCATTGTTTTAGTTGAAAACCCACCTGCCCATTATTCATCAACAGATAGACAAAGTTATCAACTAGCCAATTGTGGAATTTAAGGACAAGACATTTCCCTCAAGATATGATGGAAATCAAACCAGATCCAAAAAAAAACCCTGAATATTAGACTCATATTCCACAGAAATCGATGCCCATGTTGGTCTGTATCTGTAAGATGTGTATATAGGCCACTCTTTACTTTCCACTATATTCTATTTTCTAATTTTAAAAAACTTTAAAGAGCTCCTATAATATTTTGTTTTATTTTTTTTTCATATTTGTTAGTGTGTTATAGCTTTTTAGTTCATGTAAAATTCTGCAAACTTACTAAGCCCAAAGTCCATGTTAAAGGAAGTCATTCTCTCTCAAAGAAAATACTGTTCCTTACATGCCTGAAACATCTTGTTTACTGTCCAGGCCTTTCTGGCCTCTCCGTGTTACTTATTTACATCATGTAACACATTTTTCTAACGAATCCCAAACTGCTACTTTAGCACGCCCTCAAACAAAGAATGAGCAGTTACACTACATTATCATTGGTTTCCTCACTTTTATTAGGACAGCTGACCAATCAGAGCAGACTGGGCTTTTTGGGAGTGGAGCCATAAAGAGATAGGCGCTAAAACTGAGCTTTTTAGAGGGAGTATGTAAAGCGGTGCTGTACAAGTAATATACAATGTACAGTTTTTTAAAAAATAATTCAAAAAAATTCTTGTTTTTTTTAACATTGAGGAATGTAATCATATTCTAGTAGACCCCAAAATGAAAATGTAATATATAACCCGTAAATGTGCATAATATGGGACTTTAAACTAATCAAATACAATCAAATACATGTAGCTTTGAGGGGATTTCAATGATAATTTTAACTGACAAATGTTGATGTAATTTGACTTACTTAGGTTGTCCGAAGATTATACGTTATATACATCTGACAGCAATAAGATCATTTGAAATGTTTTGCCCGCATTACAAGATATGTAATAATGACTGAGATAAAGTCCATTTTTTGATTGATGAAGAGTACCATGTTCATTCAGTGCAGAAGTTATTACAGCGTAATCCATTTCAGGAGCTTCACACTTTAGAAATCATTACAGTGTGAATAGCATGTGAAAGTCTGAGTGTTACGATCAAGAGACAGCTTCATGTAAGTAGAGAGAAAAAGACAGAATGAAAGAAAGTGTGAGTATGAGAATAGTGTGAGTGTGAGTGAGAGACGTTTGCAACATATACTCATTCTGCAGAGCGACACACACTCACACACAGGCTAGATGTGTTGCTAATGAGCCTGGTGTGCGGTTACGGCGTAGAGCCAGACCGGCTCCACACTCAGACCGATGGGAGTTCAGTCAGGAGTCACTGCTTTTTTCTCCATTCCTCTGCCTCATCTTCAGACAGCAGCACGTTACCGTTCGCTGTCGTTATCAAAGCAGGCACAGGCTTACCTGAAGGGATCCTTTTCAATCTCTAAGTATTGCGGGAGACAGCCAGACTCAAACATGAGTTCATGATGGTCCCTGGAGTGTTTAAATGGTTGTCATAATTGTCAGAGAAAAAGCAAGACTGAGTTTTCTCAACGTAAGACAAGAAATACAGTACGAAGTGCTGTGTTTTGCAAAATTTGATTTGATTTTGGTGAAAAGAGTATGCCAATTATACTGAAACATATGGCATATGTGAAAGAACTTACTTCCGAAGTGATTCCTCTTCTTTAATAGCACATATGTGTCTAACATCCTTTTAGGATATTTTAACCAGTGTCATTTTCTTTTCATTTTCACTCATTGACACTATTCCCTCTCTTCCCTGCCTCTTTTTGTCATCTCCGTCCAGTCCCTGCCATGATCACCTCCTACCCCAACACCACTCTGGCCACACAGGGTGAGGAGAAGAGGATGAGCTGCATAGCTCATGGGGAGAAACCCATCATGGTGCGCTGGGAGAAAGAAGAGCGCATCATCAACCCTGAGACCAGCCGATATGTGGTCACTGTCAAAGAGGTGGCAGACGAAGTCATCTCTACACTGGTGGTGAGTGCTCAATTTTACTGTAAATCAAGCGCATGTTTGAATCTTTTGGGAGCACATGAACCTTCAGTCGTTTTTTATCTGTACAGACAGATGGAAAGCAGAGAGGGAGAAAGAGTCAGGGAGGCAGGGTAGAGATAATTCAGCCGAGAATATATTCACATAATATTAAAACCCTAAAGTACAGCATGAAATATTAAAGAGGTACCTTCCAGTTCAATTTAATGGTGGTTAAAACACAGTATGAAGGAGTAAATATGTAATGCAGTAAATTCCAGGAATATGTGCCAAGAGATAATCGAGTATTTAAGTGTTTCACGTGGTTCAGAACAGAGGTTTTCCTCCATCGCTACTTTATCTTAAAGTACAAAATGAAAGAATTAAAGTTGAGGGCATTATTCATCCTCTTTTTAAAAAAAAAACACTTGGAATAAAAGAGTATTTTACATTCCTAACAAATAGATCTACTGTGCACACCTGAAAGCCTTGGGTTTGTTGCATATCTTTGTAGATTATGCCTACTGTTCGTGAGGATTCTGGGTTCTTCTCCTGTCATGCCATCAACTCCTTCGGCGAGGACCGAGGCATCATACAGCTGACAGTGCAAGGTGAGCTTTGCCTCAACGCAGCCTTAACTCAGGTGTTTCTTTCACAGATGAGTTTGGAAAGATATTAGCTATGTTTTCATTCATTTAATTGCTGTACAGTCTGACTCCTGCTCTTTTTTTCTGTTGCTCATTGTCAAAATTACAGATTAAAACCAATAAACCAATCGGGTCTGCCTGACATGCAGTTCTATTTTATCTCTCTCTAATTCTTTCTCTTGTGTTCTGGTTTCCTTAGAACCACCCGACCCTCCAGAGGTGGAGATACGGGAGGTTAAAGATCGAACCATAGCTCTCCGCTGGACCATGGGTTTCGATGGCAACAGCCCCATCACAGGATATGATATTGAGTGCAAGAACAAATCAGGTAGACACAAAGAAAAAGTGATGTAACTATGTGGCACATGAGGCAAAATGTGCAGCAAATACACAGGCAATCTAGAAATAAGAAATACGCAATCTTGTTGTCAATTGCTAACAGTCTCTTCACCTTCTCCCCTTCTCCTAGCTTCATGGCTATCAGCCCAGGTAACCAAAGATGTGTCACCGCAGCTCAACCAGGCCACTATCATTGACCTCCATCCTTCTTCCACTTATAACATCCGCATGGTTGCGAAGAACATTATTGGCAACAGCAACCCCAGCAACGAGCTCACCATCACTACTGATGAAGCAGGTTAGTGAGCTTCTCAAGAGCATGATACTGTAGAAAAGTTTTCACAGTCTCACCTAATCTGGGTGTAAATTAGCAACTCAAAAGCAGCAGCTACAATCCCAAAAATCTGATATGTTAAGTGGATGAAATCAGCTTTGCTGAACACCAATAAAACAGGAATTGAGTCTATGCAGATAGTTGTTTGGAAAGAAACTCTTTAGATATAGTCTGCCTCCTTTGGGCCCATAGACCTGTTGAGTCATCTTGCACATAATTATTTTATAGTTATTTTAAATGGAGGCTATCATCTTTTATATATATGGGGAAACAGATCAGTTCACCGTTGATTTTAGTCAGCCCCATCAGTGTTCACTTATCCTCTATTGCCCATAATGATCCCCCCACAGGCATTCCAGCACATTAAAATGGCACATTTTATCGGATTCATTGCTAAAATAAAGTAATAAACTTCATGTATCATTTCTCATATTAATCAAGGTTAAAGCTGATGATGTTACAAGTTTTTTTAATTATTACTAAGTTGAGGTGAAAGCTGCAAGGTGCATGAATGTGCAAGAGGAAACGGGAAACTACATCCTCAGCTCAACGGCACCATCTAGTGAAAATGACCAATCTACGTGGTGAATCATCTCTCCCATTCCGTACACAAGCAAGTAGTGATGTTAAATGATATGCTTCATTTACAGCTCCTGATGGCCCTCCACAAGATGTCACTCTGGAGCCCACCTCCCCACAGAGCATCAAAGTTGGCTGGAAGGTGCAGTCCAAACTTTAAAAATCACATTACCAGCCAGAGCACAGAAATACACAGAACATTTCATAACATAGATATCTTAAGTCATTTTAAATTTAACACGAAAGTGAGTTTTTTCATTTCATTTTGTGGCTAGTTTTACCATATAAAACAATGTGTAGACAAGAGTAGAGCAGTATTTGGTCTCTTACATTCTGGAGCTGGAGCTACAAATGATATTAGATGTTGCTGTGTATTTTTGTTATATGGCTTTTTGTTTTTATTTTTGTATTTTGGTGGACCCCAGACAGGATAGCAACCACATCGTGGAAAATAGTGCTGTGGGTATAAGGTGTAATACAGCAGACAGATATATAGCCTTAAAGACAATGGCTAGAAGTTACATCTTTTAATTTTTTGCTTATTCAACTTCACTTCCATTTTAAAAAAACAACAACATTTTAAATGCTTTGCTAGTTTGACAATGATACATATGATCGTAGTTTACTATAATTATAAAACTGAAGTTCAAGGACAATAGAATTTTAAATGCTTAAGGTAATAAATGATCCAAGCGACACAACCTGATGGATTTATTCAATATTCAGCATTTTAATAGTTTAGCTAAAACGTAGGGGGGGTATCGTCCTCTGACCGTGTTTCCTCTCCTTGTTTTGCAGCCTCCCCAGAAGCACCTTCAGAACGGTGTGATCCGTGGCTACCAGGTGGGCTACAGAGAGTACAGCCCAGGTGGGAGCCACCAGTTCACTATTATTAGCGTGGACACCACAGGAGACACCACAGAGAGCATCGTACTTGACAACCTGAAGAAATTCACTCAGTACAGCGTAGTGGTGCAGGCTGCAAACAGAGCAGGCACTGGGCCGTCTTCACAGCAGGTGGTCACCAAGACTCTGGAGGACGGTAAGCAGCAGTGGCTCTTAAATGTCATATATATTGATGCATCCATGCGGAATATCTTTCATGTAGTTTATTTAGATAGTACTTTATGTTAGTATAACAATGTATTTGTATTGTCAAGTCAAATCGAGTCACTCTTGTATTTCTAACACATTTGAAAACAACAGGAGTTGACTCAAAGTTCTCCCCAGTTGAGGCAGTTGAGTTTAAAGTATATGAGGAGTACAAGTTAAAAGCAGGGTTACAACAAAACAGAAAGTATGATGTCCACACAAACATAACCAAGGTAAGTCAGAGGGAAAATAGTTGGGTAAAAAGACTAATATTTGAAAGGCAAAATTTGAAATGAAAAACATATGAAGTGAATTCTAGCTGGTAAAATCAAAGTTAGAAACAACATAATTAAACATGGTAGAGAGAGGAATTCTTGAGAAGTTAACCAAAGTGGTCTGGAGGCAGAATGTGGTTATTAAGATTAGATCAGTAATGTATTGTGTAGCTTATCTATTAGGGTCTTATAAACAAATGGAATAATTTTAAATGTACAGTTGTTTCCCGGTCCTAATAAGATACAAAGTGGCTTTAATTTATTAATGGTTCTTCATCAATTCATACTTATTCATAGCACTGCTGATTTGTTTATTAAGAGTTAGAGACAAGTCCAGGATGACAGCAAGGTATTTAACTACATTTTGCTCATTTGCAAACAGGGAACTGAGTGCATTGGTTTTGCTAAGCACGAAGCTAGAAGGGCCAAATAAAATGGCTTCAGTTTTGTTTTCATAAAGCTGACAAAGGTTTATTGCCATCCAATACTTGATGTTTCTCACAAAGTCAGAGGGATTCATCCATGAGCAAGTCCTCTCAAGGAGAACAGGAGGATGAATTGTATTTGTATTTCTAGTATTATTGTAGACTAGATGCAGTTAAGGTTGTTATTTTGAACCAGATGACCCCCATCCACTCCCAGGCCTTTTTGATGCAGTAAATCTGTAAAAAGCTCAAATATATCCATGTGAAAAGGTTTCCATCTGCTGGACATTTCGTGAACTGTAGTACATCGTATAAAATGTTCCCTCTTCAGTGGCTCATTGCTAGTAGCTGTGGCATGATGTGTGTTTACATTTGACAAAAGGTAAAGTGCTCCATTGAATTTTTATTGTTGTACTTTGCACTAAGAACGTTACCCCTTATTAATAGTTGAATAATTCATAGGTTGATTAGGTTGTTTATAAAAATAATTTCTTCCACTATGTTCAGCTGCCTCATGAGAATGCCAAACGTTTCTAACAAACTCAGTGAACATTATTAGTATGTGACGCAGTGACTGTAGTGTTATTTTAACATTAATACATACATTTTTTTAATATCTTTTCACTCATAATAATCATATGATGTTGTTGTCATTACTTGTAAAATTAAATAAAACATTCAACCACATGTGAATTAACCATCGCTTTTCACTAAAGTTGCTTCAAGTGATTGTAAATGAGAGTTTCTCAATAAAGAAGAAAATGATTTTAATATGTTCTTGAATATTGCTGAAATATTTATATTTTTATATTATATGGAAATGTTTCACACATTCAAAGAGAGCTTCTTGACCTAATATTTGGTGTCAGTAGGTATTTGTGTAACTCATTTTGGGTACTCTGTGAATTGCCTGTATGAGGGTGCTCGGCCTGGCAGTCGCTGGTATTGCCACTCAAAAAGCTTCCATTAAGCCTCCACTCTAATACTTTTTCTCCTCTCTTGACTCTGGTAGTGCCGTCTCGACCTCCTGAAAATGTCCTGGCAGTGGCCAAATCTCCAGAGGTCATCTCTCTCTCCTGGATGCCTCTGCCCAGAGAGGCTCTCAATGGAAACCTGCAGGGCTACAGAGTCATCTACTGGGCCAACCTGCCTGATGGAGGTAATCACTCTCTCACACACAGGAGGAGCTTCTTTCCTCAGGCTGTCCGCCTGCTGAACTTGAAACAATAGACTCAATGAACAATCCAACCAGTCACTGTCCACCTTGTACATATACATGTATACATTATTATTATTTTCTTTATTTATTTTATCTCCTTTTGCACTGTTGGAAAATGTGATTTATTTATTTTTGCCTTTTTTTTTTTTTATCCCTTTCACTCTCGTGCGCGCTCTCTCTCTCTCTCTCTCTTTATATATATATATTTCTTGTGTGTTTTATTCTTTATTCTTATTCATCTTTTAATCTTTTTTCTGTGTGGAACAGGTGCACAAAGCATTACACTGCGTGTTATACCATGTATAACTGTGTTTGTGACCAATAAAGGCCTTGAATCCTTGAATCCACAGACACTGATATAATTTGTTGATAAATGCAGTTTACTTGGGATTCAGGATAAAACTTTAAGCCACTTGATTTGTCTTAAATGCCGTCTCTGTTTCATTGCTGTTGCTTGTTCATACATCCACTAGGGGAAGCTGTGGTTTTGTCATATTGTAATGTGCTGCCATGTGGTGTAGTTTGTATAAATGAAGCTGTTGTGTTTATAGTTTTTTTTGAGGGTTAGCATTGGGTTTGGCATTATAAGCAGTTATTTCCTCACAAATTACTAATTCACCACTTCATGTACTGTGTATTTGATTCATTGTGTTTGAGGTTTATAATAGAAGACACGAGTATCATCTTTGCACAGATTAAAAGATTTAAAAGTAATTTTTAGCAACCTCTTTGCACTTACACTATTTATTTTTGATATCTGATAGTGTTAGCTTCCCAAAATGTATAAGCTTATTTACATGGTTAAGCACTCATTTTCAAACAGTTTATACTACACTAGTTATGAGATGACTGCTTTCGAATGCTGGTGCACAATGGAAATGCAAAGTCTGTATTGCACAGAGAATATTTGTTTTGCCTTTGAATGTATAGCAGTGTAGCAGTGATCCAACCCGCAGTCTGGCTGGTCTCCATCAATAATTCACAATGCAATAACTCCAGTCAGCCCTATTGCTTCAGCTCTGAGTGACAGGATATAAAGATAGTGGAGGAGAGGACATGAGAGCAAAAATCTGAGCAAGAATGAAACATATAATCCCAAAATGCCTGTTTTGTTCGTCATTATGCAAGAGAGTGCTCACTGCATTATCTACACTTTCTCAGTTGGTTCACTCAGTAGATTGCCTCAAATGTTTTGCTTTCATCATAGGAAAACTGGAATATTTTGATAAGTTTTCAATGCGTGTTTAAATGTTGTTGGTATTCATAATAATCCCACTAAGCTGCACCATCCTAGTACAGTGTGTACCAATCTTGACACCCAGGCTTATTAACATATTTGCTTTTCTGTGTCAGAACTGGGAGAAATTAGAAATGTGACCACCAATCAGCCATCTCTGGAGCTGGATGGGTTGGAGAAGTACACCAACTACAGCATCCAGGTCTTAGCCTTTACAAATGCTGGAGATGGCGTCCGTAGTGAACAGATCTACGTCCGCACAAAAGAGGACGGTATGAGAAGCATTACCAGATATCGCAAGTTAGACATACTGTATAAAAATAGCACACGGAAGTCAAGACTATATGGTGCTGTGTTCTTTCTTCATAGTTCCTGGTCCTCCAGCAGGAGTGAAGGCTGCGGCCTCCAGCAGTTCTGTGGTGTTTGTCTCCTGGCTGCCTCCGCTCAAACTCAACGGCATCATCAGGAAATACATCGTCTTCTGCTCTAACCTGCATCCGATGGTAATAGCATTTGTATACCACAAGATTTCTGTAATTCTTTATCACTCAAAAAAACAAAAAAACAAAAACAAAACAGCTCCATTCCTGCACTGTGGGACGCTACTTCGACCCAATGATACATTAATCTTTTCCCTTCTCTGTGCTTTACAGGTGATGAGCGAGTTTGAGGCAGCTCCAGACATGTATTTCTACAGGATCCCAAACTTGGCTCGGAACAGACAGTACAGCATCTGGGTGGTGGCTGTGACTGCTGCAGGTCACGGCAACAACAGTGAGAAGATTACAGTAGAGCCTCTGGCCAAAGGTACAACTTTTTAATTAAGTTGAATGGAGTTTTTTGCATCGTCTGCTTGATAGCATAAATATTGTGCATCAAGCATGTTTAGCTGAATCGCATAGTTTTCTGAGTATTGCCACCCTAATGGCATGAAATCTTTTTGTTTTCTTGTAAGAGGGCAATTAAAGGAACAGTTTTTTATGTGTTTTAGCTCCAGCCAGGATCCTGACATTCAATGGGACAGTCACCACTCCCTGGATGAAAGACATTGTTTTACCATGCAAGGCTGTTGGAGACCCTCCTCCTACCATCAAGTGGCTCAAGGGAAAGTAAGTCACACACAAATAATTGTGCAGAACTGCTCATTGCGGACAAGATACAAAACTTTCAGGTTGTAGTGACAGTCTAGCAGTTTTTTCGCCACGGCCTGTTGTAACTGGTTTCTTCTGTGTCTCCAGCACCAATGGGACTCCTACGCCTGTCCTGGTGGATGGTCGTCGTAGTGTACATAGCAACGGCAGCTTCATCATCCGCACAGTGAAAGCAGAGGATTCTGGGAACTACAGCTGTGTTGCCAGCAACAACTGGGGGTCAGATGAGATCACGCTTAACCTGCAGGTCCAAGGCAAGTCGTCATAGCAACAGATATACTTCACTGATCACACCGTCTTACTGAAACATCATACGTGATATTCCCTCTCTGTAAAGCTCATTTAGTTTATTGCTATTGCCAAGCTGTACCCCAAATTTTTCACACTTAGAATATCGCACTGCTCTTTTCTCAAACAAGGTGCTTCATCATCTTGCCCCTTCATGCATTTCTGAACTTTTGCATCCCCCTTTAGGCCACTCAGATCATCCAGCCAAGATATCTCATTTATACACCACTATCTCTGCTGTTAAGGTCCCACCCTCTTGGAAAGATCTTCTCCCCCTGAGTTAGACCAGCTGAATGTGTAAATGTCTGCAAAACCTTCCTAAAACACATATACACTTACTTCCTTTCCCTGGATTAGTGCTGTAATTTGTTTTATGGATTTTTCTTTATACATATGTGGTTTACTTTCTGTATTCATATCCTGTGAAAAAGTTTGCATACAACTGAAAGTGTGTTTACTTACTTACTTAATTTAGGACAAGGTGTTCATTATTTTCTGTTTAATCAAACCAAATATCTATCTTACCTTAGCTGCACTGTTTATCTAGGCAAGCCTTTCCCTTCCTTCTCTACTTTCTATTATTACCCCTCTCCATTCCAGACAAATTAGTTTTCCTCCCAAACTATTACATTTAAGTGCAATTGTTTTTCAGTGGATGAAATATTGCTACATTACAAGAAACAGCCAGGTTAAGTTATAGTTTATATGACTTTGGAACGTGGATCGGCCACTAGATTAAATAATATTTCTTTAAGTTTATGCTCCCTACGCAGTGAGCAAAACAGTTTCCAGCATGCCATCACACCAGCACAGCCAAGAGTGTAATACAAGTCCAAGTCCAAGTGAACCTTGACGAGGAGACATGATTCAGAATAACACAAGTACTAAGTGTGCAATGACCTTTATGCTTGTCCTCCTATCCACAGTCCCTCCTGACCAGCCACGCCTCACAGTTACCAAGACGACCACCACATCAATCACATTGTCATGGATACCTGGAGACAACGGAGGGAGCTCCATCAGAGGTGAGGGTGGCACAGATGCACATACAACAGATGAAACAGCAAAGTGAACAGTTTCATCACAGCTGAATGTGATGTACACACCCACAAACAAGCTGCAACTAGATGCATTATCTGTTATACGAAACCAATCACCTCCCTTCAGCTGTTTGTGATAGCCAATGTCACCTCCTCCTTCACTCCGGTCTAACACCCCTGTTCTTGTTCTGGTGTCTCATTATCTGCTGGTACAGCGCAATACTCAAGTCCTAAAAGGTAGATTAAAAAGCAGGAGGGAAGATTAGGTCTGTTTAAGTGAAAGATTAAAGCGCTCCATCTTAAAGGAAGCGCAATCACAGTGAGACTATTTGTGGTGATTTATCATTGCTCCTAATCATGGGGCTCCCGTCCTCAGAGCTATAGTTGCTATAAAAGCTGTCTATGATATCTTTTCTGTGGTATTTGTTTTGCCTCCCTGCTCACATAATCGGCCATCACCAAAATACACACACCTGAGCTTACCACTGTCCATTTGTACCTGGGCTTATAGCGTGCTCTAGGGATACCAGTGTTGGCTGGTTGGTCACACTGTCCCGAGATTATCATCGCAACTCCTGAATAAATTGTGAATTATTTTGTTTTTATGCACAGTTTTATGACTTGCAGAGCTGATCCTGTGGTGAGGGGAAAAATCCATCACATTTACCATATTATATGAAACAGCAGCTGAGGAGAGGCCCTAGTGTTTGTTTTTTAGGTGCTTTCAATATTATAGTTTTATATTATCCTCAAAGTCATGTTATTTTCAGAAAGACTTTTACATTTTTTAAAAACAAATCTAACAACCTAAGCAAGGAGCTTAGGTTTGGAGGTCCAAGGTAACATTGTGGATTTTGACAAGTACAGGGTCAAATTATGTCAAAGTTGTCTTTATATTTTTGATACTTCACATAGTTATACATTCAGTGACACAATATATTTATAGATATTTCATTTCATTATTTCATGTTATTATCTCTTCAGGCTTTAGTTAAAATATCGTCTGACATCCACTTATAACCAAAAGTTGCATCCTTATAGAGATTTTTGCAGAGGTAATAAGAAACTTGTAAACTTATATACTAACTAACTAAGTGATTTAATTTGTTCCAAATTTACAAACTTTTTTTCTTCTTCACTAATATGTTGCTCTTCTCCTCCCCAGGCTACATCCTGCAGTACTCAGAAGACAACAGTGAGCAGTGGGGCAGTTTTCCCATCAGCCCCAGTGAGCGATCATACCGTCTGGAGAACCTGAAGTGCGGCACGTGGTACAAATTCACCCTGACGGCCCAGAATGCAGTGGGGCCAGGGCGCATCAGTGAGATCATTGAAGCTAAGACCCATGGGAAAGGTAACCTGGGAGTTAGTTTGCTAGTTTTGAAGTTATGAGCTTTTAGAATTGGCTAAAAATGCAGCGCTATGGTGATAACTAATTGTGTTATCTGGAATCAGTTAAAACATCTTTCTTTGGAAGTCACGCTCCCATACCTACAGTATCTTATGTTTGTTTCTAATAACTCTGAATGGATAGGAGGATGAACTTAGGTAAGGGAATATTTTTCCCATCTGTAAGGCAAGACTTCATTTCCATTGATTCACCCCAAATTCATTCAAAACTTTATTTATATTTTGTTAATAAACTATTCGGAGTCACTTTGCTTGTATTGCTAGTAAAATTAAGAGTGTTATCTTGAACCGTGACATGGTCATGTCTACGATGTAGTTTGACCTTCTGTCTGTCTTCTCCTCAGAACCCCAATTTGCCAAAGAACACGAACTCTTCACCAGCATCAACTCCACCAGGGCCAGGCTCAACCTGGTCGGCTGGAACAACGGTGGCTGTCCAATCACCTCCTTCATACTGGAGTACCGAGCCGTGGACTCAGCCACCTGGACCACAGCCCAGCGCACTTCGCTGACCAAGAGCTACATACTGTACGACTTGCAGGAGGCGACCTGGTATGAACTGCAGATGAAGGTCACCAACAGCGCCGGCTCAGCAGAAAAGAGGATCACCTTTGCCACACTCAATGCTGACGGAAGTGAGTTTGGATTAAACAGCTTGCCTGCACATTTATCGAGGATCTTTGGATGAGGATGGAATAGAGCTATCAGTAGACATAAGAACTTGTCAAAACAGATTCCCCTCCAATCTGAAAATGTACAAAACATGTTAGTTTACTTTGCAGATGATATTGTAAAATGGCAAGGATCCAGATTTGGCAGGTTTCTGCTTCTTTTTGTGTTCTTTAATATCAGATCTTATCAAGTTTGAAGTCCGATTGGACATTTTTAGCTCGCATGAAGTTTGGAATTGAGGCACAACTATGTTTCACATCACCACACAATAAGAAGGGGGGTTTATGTAGAAGAGAAACAATTAGTTTGACCCTTAGTCTACAATAGCAATCCATTATTATACCTATTAACAATGTTGATAATTACAGTAATAATATAATTATATAGTACTTTTCCAGAACCCCATAAGCAGAATAAAGAAAAATTGCAAGGGACAGAATTACCAACAATTATTATATAACATGTTGGAGAAAAAACGATATAAATAATAGATAAATATACATTAAAAATAACACTCAGAAACAGCTTGTGATAGAATTAGAAGTATATCCGTTGTTAAGAAAGGCCATTCTGTAAAAGCAGGATTTAAGATGAAATTTAAAGTGTTTTTAGGCCTAATGCTAAGACTGTTCCAGAGGCAGGGGGCCGAAACAACAGAAGCTCAATCCTTTATTTGTAAACAGGACTCTGGAACTGCGAAGAAATGAGGAGTTTTGTTATATTGTCTGGTGCTGTTAACTGTATCACTGTTGCTGCATGAAGGGCCATTCTGCAGTGCAGTGTGTGTTTTGTGTGTTGATTATTTGTGAATCTAACTGTTTTGTCAGCCTTTGAACAAACTGACAGGTACCCTGGCAGTTTAGTTGAGTAAGAGAATGGGGATGGTCTTCAGATTCTCCACAGGCCATGATGTAGCTCTATTTGCTGCCGACTACAGATTGTGTCAGTCATGCACAAAGCAAGTGTATAATCTACGAAGAAGGCTAGAGCTGGCAAACGCGTCTGTGCTACACTCTAGACTGTTAATTTATTTCTTTTGAATAGTTTTGCTGAGACGTGTAAGCTGCCTGTCAGGGTGTTGTGTGTGCATGTGTGTGTATGTGTGGGCAGGAAAAGTTGTGTGGATGCTATTGTCAATTTGACAGCGGGTTTGTAGCTCAGCTCAGCTGCCGAGCATCAGCCCTGGAGACTAACAGCACATATTCAGTCCTTGACAAACCTGGTGCCCCAGCCACAGTCAACTGAACACTTTTCTACTATATTTAACTGTCAAATTAGCAGGAAGCAGGCATTAGGAAAGTTTCACAGATTTGAAGTTAATTAGAGATGCATTTTCTGTGGTCAACAACAGAATCAGTAAAGCTGGAGAGGATTTGAATCCAAGTGTTATAGGTATTTTTGGTTTAGTTTTTTGTTTGTTGTCCTCATGTCTTCTTGTTTTTTGGGGTTTTTTTTTTTGTTCTCAAACAGTTGCTTCAGAAAGTACATGTGTTTATTTATCTATATGGTGGGTGTTGGCCCTCACTAAAATCAACCCAGTGCATTCTCACATAGAATCCAAATGGCTGAAACAATGTTCAGACAACTGAAGAATGACAACAATATCAATGATAATATATGTAAAGCTTAAGTAAGAGGATAATGAAGGACCTATAATATTTGTAGTTTGAGTGATTGTTAGCTTTGTAAGTCTGCACATAAAAAGCACGCCATGGAAAATCAGTAACCGAAGCTTAATTACAAAGCATTTTTTCATCCCTATGATCCTCAGCTGTGTTAAAACATAAATCTTCTTTCAGTCTTTGCTTTCAGGAAAACATCAACAAGCAAAGTAATGTGGCTTTGGACAAATGTTTCACACAAACAGCAATGAAAAGCAACATTTAGAAAAAAGGGAAGTCGCTTCCCATCTAACAAAAAGACTGAAGAGTCAAGTAGCCAATTTCCATGTGAACATTCAGATGAGAGTCTTTGTGTTTGAGTAATAATTATTCTGTTTATTTCCTTCAAGGTACCATCCCTCCCCTGCTGAAAACAGGAGATCCCATCTCAGACAACATGTCAGGCAGCGGAGGTCTGAAGATGGTGGTGACCATCACCTCTATTCTTGTGGTCGCTGTTCTGGTTTTTATTATGCTTATGGTGCTAAAGAGGAGAAGGAGGGAGCAGAGACTCAAGAGACTCAGAGGTGGGTTGTAAAGAAAATTATATTTGTATTAGGTTTTGTACGGAGTTCATCTCATTAAGTAAAAATGCAGTTTATCTGAGACCTAAAAAGCAGACTGAACATTTTTTGTCCCTAAGCACATTTGCATACTGTTTACAAAGCCTAAAACACACATCCATTTTATAAGCCTAACATGTCTTTGTGTAAACATGCTCACCAACTCACCCGTAAGCACACAGACAGAAGCAAAGCAATACATTCAGAGAGCTATGCAGTTAAAATCTTTTGATGCTCAAGTGCATCTGAACCAATTACACTGTGTTAAACACAAAACTGAGGCTAAAGTTTACTTTTGTAATTAAGAAACTTAAGTCGTTGTCTCACTGTGTATTTTCCAACACTCTAACATACTTTAGCTGGCTTTTTGTCAGAGCAGTTGTCAGTGATTGTACTGTATTTTCACTGCTGTAGCTTATCAGCTTGGGCAGTACTATTATGGTTTTAACCGCCTCTTTGCTGACTTCACAGATGCCAAAAGCCTGGCAGAAATGCTGATGAGGTACGTATTCTTAATTTTAATTTATGCCCGCTGCTTTCCTTTAAGCAGGCAACATAAATCACTGTATGGCTTGGAGTTACAGTGCCTATCAGTAAAAATCAAATATATTGCATTGTTGCTGTCCCTCTTGCCTTTTTACAGCTACTTATCAACTTAAATGGAATTGAATTAGCATTTCTGCGATACAATGCAAAATCACACAGCTGAAAAGTAATGAATTTTTCTCATTAATCTCCTCAGTAAAAACACGCGGACGCCAGACACAGTGAACAAACAGCAGCAGACACTAAGAATGCACATCGACATCCCCAGAGCCCAGCTCCTCATCGAGGAGAGGGACACCATGGAGACAATCGGTAAGACACGCAATGTGAAAACCTTGTGTTTATCATTCACCATAAGCTTGATAGCTATGACTCACCTTGTGCTTTCACTTCTCTCTTAGATGACAGGTCCACTGTGCTGTTGACAGACAATGACTTTGGAGAGACTAATAAGCAGAAGTCGTCCACAGTGACCCACACAGTCCACTACCAGTCTTTGTCCCAGGCCACTGGGCCACTGGTGGACGTGTCCGATGCTAGGCCTGGAACCAGTGAGTCCCACCACCGTCAGTGCTCAACATTTACTTCCTCTACTACTAATACTGCTGCTATTTTTGTGTTACTAACAATAACCTAGTTTTAAAAAACTTTCTTGTGGCTAAAGCCGTGACTTGTTTTATTTGGTTGGCTCTGCAGCTAAGAATCTTCCACTGCTAATTCCCCTACTGAATCCACAGATACATTCTTGTAGATGTCACTTTAAAAGAAAGCACCCCAGCACTTTAAAATGCAAGCATTTTATTGCACATTCATCTAATCACATGCAAGGCAAATAGCTTTTCCATCTCGTCTTAGTTTAACTGTAGACAGTCCTCATACAGTCTGTGAGCTGCCTTTCAGCAGTGAGATTACAAAGGAACAGCAGCCGTGCTGCAGAGCAGCCGCCGGGCTTCTGGTGTTTGAGCTCCACTGAAGCAGAACTGATGAAGAGTAGTGATCTCCATGCCTCCTCTTGACACGTTTTCATCTGATTGCCCTGCTCCAACTGGCCGGTTGGGTTTGAGTGCACTTGCAGACTTGGATACACACATTTAGTGATGTACTTACATGATTTTGTGCTGATGACTGGCCAATACATATTCAGATAACATGACTTATTCTGACTTTTTTAATGCTTTAAATATTGACAGACACATAGTTCATCTTGTACTAATTTAATGGGCTACATTTTAAATTGTGTTGCTACTTTTACAATTAAGTTGCACTGCTGTAGATACAGAAGCAAAAGTATTAGTTCAATATTCTGCCAAATATCACCATTAAAGAATACTTGCTTATTTTTATTCATTTTCTATTGAAGCACAACACTCTTTGATTTGATTTATAACTGCCAACACTACACAATATGAACTAGAGTAAGTCAGAGGATGCATCCTCTGCCAAGGCCTATACATTGTGTCACAGATTTAACAAAAGTGGTCCAGATCCACACAAGTATTTAATGAGTCCTTGCTGTGCCGATGCTCCATCTCTCCACCATGTAATCTTGCAGACAAACTAACAGCTTCCACCTTGTAGTATTAAGATATAAAATATACACACACACATATACACACATGCATACACAAACATCGACGCAAGCGCAACATTTATCATAGCCACACACACACACACACACACACACACGCATACGCATTCACAGGCAAGCAAACAGTCACATGATTGGTTCATTTAGCCTGACCAGTGGGGCATGAACCCAGACTGCTGACTCAGCCCTTCTTTACTCCCTGCTGATGGCCTAACACCTCCATCATTTCATCCTTCCATCCCCGCTGATAGAATTACTGTCTGACCTACTACAATTACCAGCACCATTCTTCTCTGCACAAATCCAATCCAGGCCTCATTGTGATTTGGCCCAGCAGTGTGCAGAGCAGCAGACTGTCTTGGTCAGGCTGAATGTGACACTGTTTGTATGTCTGTATGGGGACAGTTGGAGTTTGAGATTGGTGGTAATGTCCAGTGTTCACAGAAAGGATGAATTGTGCATTTGTACCACAACTCAACAGGGAACATATACTCTGTCCCTTCTTAAATTGTAGCAATAATCTGTGTAGTTTGGGTCTTTGATGTTCCGCATCCAAACAGCAGTTTCAATGTTTGCAGTTTCAGCTTTTATGACGATGTGAATGATCCAAAAACAGTTTCACTGTTATTACTGTCTTGCAACTGAAGGTGGGAAAATTGCTAGAGTGGCCTGCTGAAGATTAGACCCCAGCTGTTGGAGGCAAATGTGTCCCTGTGGGCCTGAAATTCTTCATTTGTTTCTGTTCAATGATAAAAGTTCTTGTTTATTTTATTCTGTTATTGACGGAGAAGTTTGGAAATGAAAAACTTTCGTGGAGACTAATTTAATTATCTTGATAGAATTTAGAAAGGCACATTTGAAATGATGCAGGTTACACTGTTGCATTCCAGGTACACATTTACTCTATCGGTAAACACTAATACATACTGTGCCTGTACCTGTACTGTTTTATTCAACACTAATACCTGTTTATTGTTAAGCCTTAATGTGCTTCTATCCCAAATCAAGATATTCACCCTAAATAACCCAATATTGCCCAAATTTTTCAACAGATAACTGCCAGTTGAATCCAATTAGAGAAAAAAAATACTTTATGTTGTTTGATTGGACTTGAATTGATTAAACAGAAAGACAGACTTTCTCTTATTACCTGTGATCACTCACAAATTTGCTCCACCTGTCCTTTCATAGATCCCACTGCCAGACGCACTGCCAAAGCTGGTCCTGCCGCAGCACGGAGCCGCTACGCCAGCCAGTGGACTCTGAACCGGCCGCACCCCACCAGCTCCTCACACACCCTGACCACTGACTGGAGGCTGCCCACACCACGTGCCACTGGATCTGTGGACAAAGAGAGCGACAGCTACAGTGTCAGCCCCTCACAGGATACAGGTAGAGTTTGGTGTACTTATCCAGGACCAGCATGGACTCAGCCTCTTTTATAATTATAGTTTTGAAGTTGGGGAATGTGACAGAAATCATGTTGGTTTTGTGAGAATGTCAAGCGTGAAGGTGTTTTTCGTGGTTCTCATGTTGACTTCTCTTCAATCCAAAACATTTTGGCTGTGTTTTTTTAATTTCAAAGTGCAACTTTGGGGCGTATTCTCAGCTAAGGCTTCCAGGGTATGAATCCAATTGAAACTGATGCCATTCACCGATATTTATCTCTTGCTTTTTCATATTTCACAGTATAGTATTCAGTAAAGCTAAAACACCCCAAAAACCATCCAAAACAACATAAGAACACAGCAAAACCCCAGCATTACACACTGCAGTATGCTTTGCCCTGATAATACATCTGTATCTCAATGTGTAATCACCAGATCGTGCACGGAGTAGCATGGTATCGACAGAGAGCGCGTCCTCCACCTACGAGGAGCTGGCCCGAGCCTACGAGCACGCCAAGATGGAAGAGCAGCTCCGCCACGCTAAGTTCACCATCACCGAGTGCTTCATCTCGGACACCTCATCCGAACAGATGACTGCAGGGACCAATGATTACACTGACAGCCTGACCTCCAGCACGCCGTCTGAGTCGGGCATCTGCCGCTTTACCGCTTCACCACCCAAACCTCAGGATGTCAGCAGGGTCATGAACATGGCCGTGCCCAAGGCGCACAGACCTGGTGAGGAAGTAAAGTTTGCAGCACCAAACAGAGACACAACTAATTCGTCTTTGTGCTTCACTAGCAGTAACTGAACCATAGCTCCCTTTTTTTCCCATCAAAACTATATAATTCAAATCATAGACGAGCTTTTACATCCATTTTTTATAACAAAACATTTGAGGGTTCCTTTAGAGTATATAAGACAGCAGTATCAGAGCATTTTTACAATAATGTGAAGCATTCTGAGTGAGCCAGAAAGTGTAGGCAATGTGTCACTACAGGAAAAGTATGTAGATGCTTTAGATTTGGTTGAATCGCTCAGACAGGAGCATAGCTTAAAGGATACAGAGCTGCAGAGGTCTGTTTGTCTTTACCTGCACCTTTCTTACTTGTGTTATTAGTTAAAGAGACAGAGGAACAAAGGCAGATGTATAAATTAAACCACAATCTTTAGAAAAAAAATAATTGCCAACAAGAAGGTGCTTAAGATCCAAAAAAAAACTTTCTGCTATTTTTGGCTCTGTCACTGTAGTTACTGCCACCCACGAGCCAACAGTCAGGTACATTGATGTATATGATGAGTCCACTTCACTAAATCACATATGTAGGAACTGATTTATATCTAACATTTTAAAAGACAAAGAAAGAAAAGATTTCAATTTAAAATTACTCCAAAAAATATTATATTATCATATATATTGGCATGCATTTATGATATAACAAACATCTATATAGTTATGTCAGTTATATTGTGATAGAACCCAGAAAATGTAGTTTTTGTTCACTGTCTTTAAGCACTTTTTTTTAGTTTTCCAAGCAATTTTAAGACTAACCCCGACTCTCTCTTTTGTCACATATTTTCCGTTGGCAGAACATGTACAATAATTTGGTCTCTCTTTTTTTAGCTGTATTTGCCATCAGATTGTAAGAAGTTAGATGATATTAGTTAGCTAACAGTTGACTCTGGAAGCTCCTCAGTTAACCTTTTGATATTTTACTCCAACTTTGATCAGTTTTCTAGCCGGGGGTGTATCCCATTAGTCTTCACACTGCTGCTACATAAGGTATAGTCTCATTAAACCGTTGCACAGTACTTTAGAAGGGTTCGTTTTTTTTCCAGGCCCTCTGTGGGAGTAGCTCCTTTTAGACCTTAAGCACAATAACTAGGCCCATCACACATCATGAGCAGAAGATGCTGCTTCTCCTACAGCACCCCAGGGATGTTCTTGTTTGAGGCCAGACAACTTTTTTGTAAATTATATTAGTTTTTAAATTACATAAAGATTCTCAAAAGCCTTTCATTATATCTGCAGTTTGAGGAAACCTGCTTTGCTCTGCTCTGCTATCTTCTCTCAGGTTTTAGTCATCTTACCTTACATGACCCTCCGTTCCTCCCGGGAACATTGTAGATCAATTACAAGGTCTGGCAGAGCATGCTGACGGGCTGCTGACCACACACAGAAGCACAGACGATGTTCAGAAAGACAGACACCCTTCTCCCTGACACATGTTCACAGCTCATCCATCATCACTCCTGCTGTCATGTTACAGTGCGTCTGGGGTCACTGATAATTAGCAATGTTGGAGGTGTCCTGTTCGAAGACCAGAAATGTAGGTCTGTGTGCGCACACAAGGGTAAAGTGTCCCAGACTTGTTGGTTTGACCAGACAAGACTTGAGGCCATCAGATCTGCTTCTTAAGTTTCAGGCCTCATTATGTTTTGAACGTTTGTGCATAGGACAGCAGACTCATATCACCAGTTTACCAGGGAGAGAGGGCAACTAAAGGCTATCTGTCTACCTATCCTGGAGCCATTGTCACTCAGTACAAAACAGCGCTTTACCGCCACATTGGAGACCTTTTAGTGTAATACCAGACTCTTAGTCTTTCAGGCTGGTGTGGCAGCGCTGAGTGCTAAGACCCTGGTGTCAGTTACACTGGGTGTCTAGTGTAGGCATAAGAGTTGAGCTGTGTTGCCTCTACAGTTTCCTGGTAGGTTGTCAACTATCTGTAATGAGCTGTGTTTGAACAATTAACAAAAGACATAATTTTAAGCAGGTTTAAGCAGGAAAATTTGTATATTTCTTACATTGTTGAGGAGTCAGACCTAAATGTTTAATATATAATTAGAGAACTGCCATTTTCTGCTTTTTTAAATGCCAGAAAGGTGAGGAGTGCTGCTTCACGTATACAGGTATCAAAAAACAGGTAGCCAAGAACATGCAACAAGGGTCACTGCTTTGAAAAAACAAAAAGCCTTTAATCAATTCACAGTCTTCATCAAGGCATGTAAAACCAAGGAGCAGCTCACAGTTATACTAGTAATAAGGCTGGTGTTAGTTGCCAAACAATAACAGCTAATTGCCACAGGTGCAGTTAAGCATGTGGGTGTGTCTATCAGTCAGTTTTAACAGGCTATTTGTTTTACAGAAAAAAATCACCATGAACAATGAGATTTTCACAAACCTACATAACAAACAACCATGCAGAAAACACCCAATTTAATATTTAAAAAAACATATATAAGCTATTCCTACGGTGATTAATCTTTATAGGTTCCAATGCTTCCCCGAAGTATGTGTCCTGCAAAGAAGAAAGAGATAAATAAGGAGTGTAAGGGGATTAATTAGAGGGGAAAAGGAAAATGAAGAATACCCCATGGCCAAGCATGATAAACAGTACCGTAGCTGCAGCTCAAAGCAGCAGTTATGAAGGGCATAGAAATGTCCAGGAGGGAAGGAGATAAACTCAAGGAACTGCTACCAAGAGGAACATTTTGGATTTTCAAGATAAGGGCCACTACAAGTCAAGGCCTGAATGAGGAGCTGGACTATGTTCCACTTCTGTAAATATGTTCCCTGTGATGGTTTGATCCCCAAAAAATTCATGTATGGCAGCTTGTGATTATGTTATTGTTCATGGTGTGATTTCTACACATAGAAACACAGATACCTTGTTAGACTTTACCTAGTCATAGACACACCCACTTTCTTAACTGCACCTGTGACAATTAGCTCCTATTGTTTGGCAGCTCACTCCAGCCTTAATTTGTCCGTGAGCTGCTACTTGCCCTGATGCAGACTGTGAGTTGCCCACAGTCCCATTTAGAAAATGCCTTTTAATTTTTTAGAAGCAATGTTATTTTCTAGTATTAAATATTTTTTGATTAAGACTTATTGATTCCAAAGCAAAGTACAAGTCTAAACTCTCTGTTCCTAATGTGTATTTCAGCTGCCTCAGTGTACTTATAAATTGAAGGCATACAATTAGCAGAGATTTGCCACAACTCTAATTATTAGGAATTATTCAGATGCAATGTGGGAAAGTTGGATTTACAGAATTATGTCACGTGATTTTAAATCTTTATATACTGATGCTCAGCATTCTTGTTTCTGCATATGAAACTGTTGACTTTCTTGTAAGGGAATCCAGCCTTAGTAACTGCTTGGCCATAAGGTTTATTAAAATAGAACTTTGTACCGATAGGTCTATTGTTGAGCACTTCTTTTACAAACACATGACACTGATACCCGTTTGGGAAACTTTTCAAGGATTTTGGAATCCCAACTGTTGCAACAGAACACAATACTAAATAGAAAAGGTGCAAGACACATTGAAGCAGTAGTTTAAGTAAACACAAGAAGTGCTTTTATAGCTCTAGGGTTTGCATAAAGAAATTTCTGGCGTCCTCCAACGAGGCTTCATCCAGCAACATGATAAGAATTAAGATTCTTTATTAAATGGGGGTTCTTTCCTCAAGCATGATACATCTTTTTGTTTATAAAGTGGTTTAGAAACACAATGAAAATTCATATATTTCTAGCAAGGAAGGTGACACAGCCTTATTTTCTTACCATATGTGGACAAATCGCACTGTTGTGTATTGAAACCCCCCAAAGGCTCCAGTTATGACTAAAACTTTCTGAACTTGTTTTTAGGCTTTGGTTCATTAGGTGTTGCCCACTGCTCGTTCTTTATGCTATATTAGGTGGCCAAAAATAGAGTCAAACTCTTTGAAAGAGAGTGAATTTTCTAAAATGTCTCTCCACATGTGTAAATTCTAAGTAGAGTGTATTACAGTGTTGAAACTCAGGCCCAGTGTGGAGGCCTGTCAGTGAGTGAATGACCCAGCTTCAACCCTATGTTAGTTTCTATTACATCTGAGTGGCATGACCTGACCTCATCTGCCCATCACAAAGGTCAGAGGCAGACAGCCTCTCCTTTCACATAACCAGCCTCACCTGACAGAGCTGTTATAAGAACAACAGCTTATTTTTTCTTCTTCAATGCTTCATAAGAACAAATCCATTCGGGTTGTGTCTCATTGCAGTGTGTTCTTCGTCACTTACAGGGCCACAGGCAGCCTTCATCCCATGACAGGCCTGTAAATGTGTTGCGTGAGAGTGTGTGAATGACGCATACAATATAGAAATACAGGTCAAAGAATAATACATCAACCTTCACAAAAGACTGAACTGATGATGCAGCAGACACTTGAGCAGACTAATGGTTTGGCAGAGTTGCTGTTGTATTGTGGTTACACATACCATTACTGTACAATCTGCAATTTACTGGCTGATGAATTTTCAAACTACATTTCTAATGAGCTCCCACAGAAACACTTAAATCTATATTTAATTCAATTAACACTCCTAGCCATTCATCATCTTCGCTGGCACTAATAGGGCTTATTATAAAACACAGTAAATTATTCATTCTCCCCGTGAACCTAGAAATCCATTCTCCAAGGTCACATGTTGAACTGAATCTGCAGAGACGACCTCCTCTGTGCTCACATTAGCTCTGAGTGGCTGGCAGGGAGTGTGTACGTGCACATAGCGTATGTACTTACATTTGTGCACGTGTGGGCTGTGTACATGTGAGACATAACACGTGTTGAAAAGCGATTTTCGCAATGAATTGTATACCTGTAAAACGCTTGCTGATCTCTGGTCCTCTGAAAGATGAATGCTTCATTACTAACGAAACAATACAGACGTTACTCAGCTCATCAAGTGTAGAATCTCACCGCAGTCCACGAGATCTGGCAACCCAACACTCTTTTGTGATGGGCTAATTTGCTCTGTTAAATATATAATCCTTTCAGTAGAAGGGACACAATAGAAGTAAACTCAGTGAACCGACAGGGTCTCTACCTCTCATCTAGCACCTCAGAGAATCACTTAACAATTGAAGAGACAGCATTTAATCATGGTTTATAGATATTAAATCTGACTGCTTTATCTTGCTACAGGCCTTGACAGGCTATTCTGTTTATTACAGTAAAAAATAAGCTTTCAGCACAAAGAAAGAACTGAAATTTGACAAGTGCAAGCAAGAATTAAAGTGGTATATATTGGTTGGATGCGGAGGCACAGTTCATCATTCAGCGTCACCACAGTAAGAAAAGATAACTGTAATCATTGCATCAGCCCCAGACGATAATAGCAAAGATAACATTGTGATTTTCATTTTCTTATTACATTATGTTCTGCATATTTTCCCTGATAGCAACTATTAAATCAAATAGATTCACACTTGGGGAAGATTGGTATTACATTAAAATAATGGTTATGTGAATCATAATCCCAGTAGGCCCCGAGGTGAGCAAATGTAACAGTGTGAATGTGTGAGTGAAATATGGATTTTCCAGACTCATTTCATTTAAACTGAAGGGAAGGAATGATATTATTGGAGTCTGTGGAGACAAGTTAGGACTTAGACACACAGTGGGGATCTCAGAGAACTGCTGCACTGACCCAATCCCAGTCTCTACACTCATGGATTTACAGGGGTGTCCCTAGTAGAGCTGCCCCGCTGACTAATGGGCAAGTACATGGGGCTCTCATGTGGACTATTTGATGCTATTACCCACCCTTTCTGTGAGTCTGCAGACATTTCCCGAGGACTTGTCCATGGTTCATAGCAATGTTAGTGCCATATCCACGTAATAATACCCTCCTCCACAAGATATGTTACAAACCAAGCATGCATGTTACAGAGAAGAATCACAGCATCTGGCAGCTTGTTGGTGTGCTTATTTGTTGCACCTCAGGAGAGTTGTTTGTACTTTTCAAACATCTCCATATGATTTTTAGATAGTAATGATTTGTCTTACTTTTGTTAGTTTGCTAAAATGTATACACACTGTAATGTCACAAACAGGGAGTGATCAATCAAGCAGCCCATCAAAAGGTGAATGAAAGTTCAAGTTCACTTTTTTTAAATTAACGGCAATGTGTTGTTTCCAAGCAACGCGCTGTAACAAGAGTGTGTTTCACTCCTCCTTTTTATATTATTTTATGCTCTCACAAAGCCATACACGCTCAAGCATGACAGCTGTTACATCAGTTAAGTTGGTGAGGGTTTAGTGTTTAGTTCCAAGGATGGAGATTGGGCCATTGATTCTGGGGGGAAGCAGGAAGTCTCCTTAACATTACCATCGAAGCAGGCTGAGCCAAAAGTGACAAGGAGATCATGGTTGGGTATCTCTCACAGTCGGAATGTAAGCTTTTCTGAAGGCATTAAATAACATGTCAGCTTCTACAAATGGCACATGCACTTTAAAGCAATGTTTGAGATTTCAATTTCCTTACTTGCAAGCAGCTGACAATAAATTAAAGTTGCACGGATCAATATCTATATACCAATAATGCATCAAAGGAATATGCATAATTTTAAAGGTGACGCTCTGTGATGGACCTGCACAAGAATTATTACCCAGCGCTATTCCCCACAGCTCCACAAAGCATTTAAATGGCTTTCACCTCATGGCCTTGGTTCATTGCTATTTTTGTTCAGTCTCACTGCTCTCATCCTTGACTCCAAATGCAAAACTTTGTTTTTTTTTGCAATAAAAAGACTGTATTCTCTGCCTATTGTGCTAACCAGCAGTCAAACAAAGTTGGGAAATAGCTGTAAAACATACGTATTTTAAAGCATTGTCATTATTGTCCAACAGGCCAGAACAAGAGTGTACAGAGACCCACTGTCATTTAGCTACATCTAATTTGTGACCTGTTTCTCCCTTTTGTGTCACCTCCCAGGAGGAGAGTTGGTCCACTTGCCGCCTTACCTTCGTATGGACTTCCTGTTGAACCGCGGCGTGCCTCTGCCAGCCCGAGGTGGAGGGGTCAGCAGCAGTAGTGGCAGCAGCAGCAGTGGGGGTGGAGGAGGAGGAGGAGGAGGAGGTGGAGGAGGAGGTGGTGGTGGTGGAGGTGGTGGTGGAGGAGGTGCAGGAGCAAGTGGAGGTGGTGCTGGTGCTACAGGGGAAACGAGAGGAGCAGGAGGTGGAGGAGCCATGGGCCAGACCTGCCTGGAGCCCCAGAGGAGCCGTACCCTGAAGAGGCCACCTCCCATGGAGCCCACCCCAATGGAAGTGCCCTCACCCAGGGAGGTGCAGCAGTGGCAGCCAGGAACTGCCTCCACCCTCCCCCACAGGGATGTCCGGGAAAGGGGAGAGGCCCGAGGTGAGGTCCGGGGAGAGGTCCCCTCCTCGGGAGATCTAGCCCAAGCACAGGCTGCCAAGCTCAGCACCTCCCAGGAGTCACTGCTGGACTCCAGAGGACACCTGAAACAGAGCAACAACCCCTATGCCAAGTCCTACACTCTGGTATAACACTGGGACACACCGGACTGCTTCAGACAACAGGACTACTGCAGACACACTGGAGGAGGAAGGACAAGAGACAGACGACAGGCACAGGATGGACAGTTTTCCACAACAGAAATTGTTGTATATAGAGCCGTTTCTGACATGCGTCTGAAGTGGATGCTTTTCTTTGAGTCTGTCTTTCTTTCTTTCACTCTTTTCTTTCTTTCCTCTCTCGCTCTTCTCTGTTGCTTTCACACTTTTCATTCTCTCACACCTCGCTCCTCTTCTGATGAATTTTCTCTCACAGTTTTTATTTTCTACTTGAGTATTCTTTTATTCTAAAGTGACAAAATATGAGGATTGCCAAAATGATTTATTTAAAATTTGAGAAAGAGAAAAAATACTATTGAATTTATATCAAGGACAATTATAGTCATTATTATTATTACTATTATTATTATATAAAAACAGAAAATATCTTTAAAAAAAAAACAAAAAAAAAACAAGACGGGAAAGGGAGGAGGACTCTGGAGCACTCTGCAGGAGAACATTGCTTTCTTAATTTATTTTTATTTTATTGTCGCAGTGTGATGAAATCTGTGATTGGGAAACCGAGGGGGTTTTTAGCACTAAGAAGAGCCAATGGAGGAGGAGAGTGACACTGGACACGACCGCCAATGCTGACCAATCGTAATGTTTTTCAACCTTTCTGACGACTGCATGGCGACTGATCAAATGACAATTAATAGGAATGGCTGGAAATCCAAAAAAAAAAGAGAATTTTTGTCACACTATGAAATTATACAATGTGAATATATATAAAGAGATCACTTTTATTTGTGGATATTACGGGGAAAATGATTTGGTTAATAAAGTCCTTAGTCATGTTTGCACACATCTGAGTTTGATTTATACCGCCAAGACTAACATCCCTCCCTTTTCTTGTCTGTCTGGTTCTCCTCTATCCTTTCATTCTGTTCGCTTTGACCTATTACATGTTGTATTAAGATATTTCATTCAGTCAAAATAACACTAGCTGTGGTAACTGAAAAGGGATTGATGATCGACTTCAGTCGTTTCCTACTAAGAATAACGCTGAAAGCTGCAATCTGATTAACTTCTCTAATTAACTGTAGTGAAGCACTTTAATTTAATATAACCTGTTTGTGGTTCCCAAAGTTTTTGGCTTGTGCCCCTTGAAAACAAATGGGCATCTATACCCTCTATATTTATATGCATCCTATTTCCCTTGTGAGACTGTTCAATTTGAGGGGGGAAAAAAACTTTTATGCATAAAAACTATCCAGTATTTATTAAGAAATTGGCATATAAACAAAAGCAGTACCACATTGTACTGTCTTTTATATTGTATTCTGTCTAGCCAATCACGTTGATGCTGGTTTTTGTTGTTGCCCTCTCATTCGGGAACCAAGATACATTTTGACAATGGAAGAAATGTTGTTTTTGCAGAAGCCTCTTCCTTACTTTTCACTTTCACTGCTCTCCTCTCCTTTTCCTTTACTTCAGTACCTTAATTCACTTTTTTGTGTCTGTAAGTATCTTCTCCACACTATACAGATGGGAATATCTACACTAAGGTTGTGTGAATCCATTGTTATTTATTAGAGGTAGCAGCCAGATGTTCCCTACCATGACCAGTTGAAGAGTGTTTGACCCTCTTGGCTGGAGGTTGTCTGGTCAACGGATCCATCTGTAGCCGTCCAGTACATTTAAAACCTAAAACTAAAATTAGCACAATAGAAAAAGTGATTCATCAAACACATCAGGTGTCATACTGAGTCATTTGCGCCCTTAGATGTCAAATCTGTCACTGGTGTTTGGAAAGTGGATGAACTGGAAAGGATCACTACACCAACTGCAACTGTCAGTTTCTTCTTAACAGGCAGTAAAGAGTCTCCAAAGTTCCCGTCACCCCGATGATACCGTCAGGTTTTAGCCTGTAAATGTACAACAGAAACCCCCAAAACAAACTGAAGTTTTAATCGGTATAAAAAATTTGGCAGAATGTAAAAATGGGAGATGTAGCATTGATTTTAACCTTTGTTTTTAAAAGTTGTTTCTCACAAGTCCACCTTTATGCAAATGCAAAACTAAATCATTGAAGTAGACTAAACAAAAGAGCACTCGCTATTTTAAAGAGCTGTTTACGTATACTTAACATTTCTCATTATAATTTTTCTTGGAATGTTCTGTGCAGAACAGTTTTCACAACAGCATTCATTTATTTTTTCTAAGAAGAAAAGAAAAGCCAGCTTTAAAATGTATTTTAAAGTAACAAAAAGGTGTCCTGAACAAAAAAATGGATTCAACAATAATCCTTTAAGATGACCTGTTTGAAGGGATTACTTTTGAAGGCTTTTTATTTTTAATTTCTCATAATGTCAAATGATTGGCAGTAAGAAATATTTTCTTATCAACACACCACACAAACTGAGCTTCAGCATGCAAGTTCACAAAGAATACGAAAACAAATATGCCATGTTTACTGAGGATTTGTGTGGAAGTTGTTTTCATACATAAAATAATTGGAAAAAGGCAATTCTCTCTTGGCTGTGTCCACACTCCAACAGGAAGCAGGTAACGGGGAAGAACACACTTGGCATTGCACAAACATGAACAAACATTAAAACATGTTTGTATTGATGCTGTGTCTTGGTTTTGATCAACAGATGGCACTGTGCAGTCACTGAATCGAGTCCATTTGCTGCTAACAAGTCGGAAGCATGTGGACTTTGAGGAGGTGGAAAGGGATGGTTCAGCACCAAAACTATTTGTGACATCCTGGAGAGAAACATCAAGGGCAACCCAGCAGTATATTCCAGCGTGTGTCTGCCATTTGCAGGAGCACACCACCCTGAACATGGTGAATTATTCATGCCAGAGCTGACACTGGGACCTAGATCAGGTTTACACTGTCACGCTGATCCCCACAGCGCCCCAGAATGTGGATGAGACAGCAGACTCAGGGAAAAAGATTGCATGCACACAGATGCACATCAGTATATATGCAATATAAGTACACTGTAAGTACTTCTGTTGCTTGGCAGAAATAGAAAAAAAATGAATGTTTGAATGTTGTGTACACATGTGCATGCAGTGCAACAAAAATCTTCTGTTGCATGCTCACAAATTAGCTGTCACCCTGCTGAGCCACCAGGAGAACTTCATGCAGTTGCTATAAATGACTCCAAGAAAATGGTGACGCTAGAAATAACATTTACAGCAGGTGAATGACAATGATTGCAGTTTCTTTTAAAATCTGTGGACTCCCCTCGTTGGTGCGTGGTGGTATAATGAAGATAGATGGCCCACCTGCACGCTGAGAATACTTTATGACTGCTCACTTGCCCTCATACATTAAGACGAGGCAGGATGGGAGTGAGCGTGTGTGACTTGCCTCCTGGCTGCAGGCCATTATCACACCTCCCACCAAGCTCAGCCGCCAGAGAGGGAATCTCTGAGATAGAGGAACAGAAAGAAGAGGTTTCAAAGCTAGAACTGTGGTGCAATGGTTTCTAATTTTCTATATAAATATTCTATATAATTGAAGTAATTGCCTTTTATGCTGTCTTCTACTTGACTGAGGCTGGGTGTTTCAAGTACTTATCCATTCATTTTAGCAGTTAGCAAAGTATTTTAACATATTATTTAGATATTTTAACCATTTATTTACTTTTAGCTTCAATTATTAATCCAGTACATTTAGCTGACTATGTTGTCTATTTTATCCATTATTTTCGTTAGCTGAGGCTACACTGATGTTATTTCCTTCACTTCCAGGTAACTATTTGTTCTTTACTTGCACTTTACTAACTTTTAACCAGCACTGCTAGCGAATGATTTAAATTTTTTATCTATTACTTTTCTATTTACTATTTACCAGTTATTCTGTGACTGAATGCTAATTTTAGCTAGCTGCACAAGATCACGACTGTTCGTCCTGCTAGCTTAGCGTGCTATTTCAAGTTTATCTATACTTTCAGCTAACAGTTTACTATTTTTGTACAGCTTTAAAAAGTTTATCCATTAGCTAATTAATAAGCCTTAGTTGTCTATTTCACTCATTGATAACATTTTGTTAACTTTGCTTTCTCGCCATTTAGCCATTTCTTCATGGTCACGCCATTTACCTGTTAATGCTTATGTTATTTAGCTTTTCATTTATCCAATATTTTTGTGTATTTAGTTGCACTTTTTACTTACATTTTACAAATGATCAAATATTATTAGCAGTCAGTCTTCTTTTAGCTATTTAGTAATCTTTTTCAAAACACTTTTAGCTTAGTTGTGAATTTTAACCATTTAGCCATTACTTTACATTGTTTTTTTTGTCGTTGTTAAGACTTTCTTGTTGAATAATAGTTTCATGTGGGTATTATTGTAGCAATACTATTTGTCCATGCGTATGGAGAGTTGTCTGTCTGTATCTCAATCCGTTCGTCCAAAGTGAGATTTATCAATGTGTAAAAGAAGTTGTCAATGCGAACCAGAATCTACAAAAGTCGTCTCACAATTTGTCTTTCTGTAATCATCTGTATCATCTGCTCATCTGTATTAAAATTCGGTCACGTAATAAGAGTTTTCAATGCATACAAAGGTATTCCTAGTTGAAAAGTCTACGTATTCAAATACATAGAGTCGAGCAGCTTCCCCATTGGCTATCTTTTCACACATGACTTTTGCTACACTTCTACCACGACAGATCTGAAACTGAAAAGTATCTGAAAATCAGGGTTTCTGTGTCCTGAGCTCAGGCTCACAGGATCGTTGATCGTGGCTGCGTACCACTCTGTTACGCCTCCTGCAAGCCATCAGGTGGCGCTATGCATCAGTCTTTGAGCGTACGCGACATTGTGAGGCACTGTGCAACGATGAATCCCGACCGCACGCAGTGAGTACATGTTCATGCTTTTTGTAGTTTGGATAGTTAGTGAGGCAATTGTTGAGCCTTCTAAAAATATAATATTACAGGTATATGTGAATAAGTTACATCTGCTGAGGTCATGGGTCACTCAGCAAACTCTTTCATGACCAGTGACGTTCAGTGAGGTTCATGGCTGGTGAGGCACTGACTTCATCAGAATCTGATTTACAAATATATGCACTCTACACAGCAGCATATTTGCCATTTGATTGGCAGCAGTTTACGGGTTATGTTTCATATCTGCATTCTTTACACAAACAAGCTGTAGCCCACTAAA